AAAACAAAGCCAATGAGTACACGACTGATTTACCTTACTCATTACATTTCAATAGACACGAATGGGAAGTAGGGGTATCTCAAGTTCAAATACCCGTGACATGGCGAAACGTACATAACCCTCTCAACACCCTCAGCGTATCGATAGTCGGTAAAATCCTTACGACCTCAAGCGTTTCCCGTGGCAACGTGGATTTGCCTTTCGCGCATGCCTGTTCGCTAACCATTCCCAAAGGTCATTATACCGGCAGCCAGTTAGTTGCGGTGATCAACGAATCGTTACAGAGAGGTATCAAGTCCGAAACCAAGAAAGTGTCGGATGTAGATCCTAATGAATTTTATTACTATCCTACGGATTGGGAGTTTTTAACTATTAAGAACCACACCGTTTATTTCAAATTACCTCCTGTTTCCAAAGAAGAAGAAAAACAATATTCCCAAGTAAGGCTTTTCAAAATATCGATAAAACTTCACCCAGCCTTAGCGAGATTATTGGGTGTTGTGACAAAGTCCGATGAACACGTGTTTACGTTACACGAGGAAAAGCAGGCGGCTACCTTACCCCTTCATACCCTTAAAGATCAAACATTCCATAACCTGTACCTGTACAGCGACATTATCGAGTTTCAAGTTTTTGGAAACGCGTTAACTCCATTACTGACTCACGTACCCATTAGTAAAGCTATGTTTGACGATTTTGTCTACGTGAAAGACTATAACCCTATACTGTACGTACCATTACGATACGAAACTGTGCGAAGTATTAGTACCTTTATTAAAGACGATGCGGGCAGAAGTGTATCATTTCAAAGCGGACGGTCAATGGTTAAACTACACTTTCGAAAGAGGAGCGCATAATACTTCATCCATATCGTAGAAAGAGACGTTCTCGACTTCAGTTTGGTGAGGGCGTACCCGTTTATACGCGACGATATTATCAAGCGGGCGGAGGATTTGGGAACATACTCGGTGCTTTGGGGAGAATCGCGTTACCTATGATAAAATCGATGGGAAAGAGTTCGCTCAGAAGCGGAGTTAAGAAATTATCTAATGTCGTTCGAGATGTCGTGGAGGACGGCGTAAGTCCGCGGACAGCATTTAAGAGAAGAGCTGGGGAATTTTTGTCAGAAGGCGTTCAATCCGTGAACGGGTCAATACGTGCCCCGCCGGCTAAAATACGCAGAAAGAGGAAGAGAAATAAACCGCGTAGACGATGATTCGTGGCGAGGCTATAGAATGTGCAAAGTCTGAACTAGATTTATTTTCAGTACCGGGTGTTGTGACGAGCATGACCCATAGTCAATGGGTGCGATATACCCCAACAACCTCTACAATCGGGTCTGGACCCATACGATTTGATATCCTAAATCCCGTTAATAGTCATATCCATTTAGCGCAGTGTTATTTGCGAATTGTTGTCAAAGTAACTAAAAGTAATGGCGACACTACAAACCCGAGAGCATCGGGACAAGATAATAATATACCTCCGGACCACGTGGCGCCTATAAATCATTCCCTTCACAGTCTTTTCTGCGATGTAAGGGTACAACTCGGTCAAAATCGGCAGGAGGTCACGCCCAGTCTCGGTACGTACCCCTACCGGAGTTTTGTCGAATCGCTACTGTCCTTCGACGAAGAATCTAAACAGAGTTTTATGACGTGTCAAGGATGGTATATGGACGAAGCCAACAAATTTGACGATCTCAATATGGACAATGCTCGCTGCAACTCGGGGACGAAAAAACGGTGGAAATCAATAGTTCCCACGCGTGAAGTAGAATACGTGTCAAGACTTAATTGCGATATATTTTTACAACCCCGTTATCTCATAGACGGCGTTAATATAAAACTAGAACTCATTCGTTCATCGGATCAGTTTTGGTTGATGTACGCCGGTGGTGGGACTACTTATAAAAGTGTGATCGGCAGAGCGGAATTTTACGTCAGACAAGTGGAAGTTTCGCCACGAATAAGAGAACTACACATTAAAGCTTTACAGAAAGGGATAACTGCAAAATATCCTATAACGCGAGTCAAGACAACTGCTCACGATATACCAACGGGTGTAAGAGATTATCATAATCAAACTATTGTGAACGGAGATCTCCCGAAACGTATGGTCGTTGGTTTGGTGGAAAATAATGCGTATGCCGGTACATGCCATTTGAACCCTTTCAAATTTGGTCATCAAAGTTTGACAAATCTAAACGTTAAATTGAATGGCCAAGAGGTACACGGTAAATCTATCCACGTAGATAACGATGACGACTCGTCCAGATTGTACGAAACTTACTTAGACCTGTTTCGTAATGGCGGTGGTCTGTGGTGAAATGGATTACACGGTATAACGGCCGAACAATTCCGTGGCGGTTTTACCCTGTACATTATCGATTTTAGTAACGATCTAGGCGCGGATGAAGGACATCACTACCCTAAACAATCGGGCAAAGTAGGAATGGAACTGTACTTTTCACAACCGCTAGCTCATCCTTTGACCATGATTACCTATTTGGAAATTAATAACTGCATTGAAGTGGACGCGTACCGTAACGTTATGATGACGTAAAGATGCTGTACACCTCGGATATAGACGCTTTCGTGCGAGGCGACAACGAGTTAAAGGACGTCTACAAAGGTACATTACCTAGGGATTATTTACTACTTACGCATAAACGAGAGACTTTACCGGCAGCCTATATCGTGAACACTGCGCCAGCTTCGCATTCGGGATTACACTGCATTTGCTTTTACGTACCGAATAAGGATACCGTAGAAAGTTTTGATTCATTCGGTTTGAATAATTCGCTTATGTATGCTGAATCGTTTTAAATATCTATACGGTAGACGTGTGTACAGATATTCTAGTAGAAAGCTTCAATGTTACGATAGCGTTGTTTGCAGTTACTATTGTCTGTATTTTCTATATTATCGGTGTCGACACAACTCCATAAGTCGTATTTTAAACAGTTTCACCGATGACTGTACTATAAACGATGATATCGTACACTCTTGGTATTGGAATAAAAAAGCGTTAAAAACGTATATGCTACTATTTTGTTGTTTATTCGGATATTAAAGCAACGCACGGCTACAGGTTAAACGGTTGATAATAAGTATGACATGTTGGTAAATTCGATATAATCGGGTGTGAATAGCTCCCGTCAACGGATCGGTCAGACGTAATCAGCGTCAGCGATCCGTAATACCAGCTGCTGCGCAACAGTCTCTGGTAATTAACCTGATAACAACGGCGATGCGGTCAGCGTGAATGTCGCTCACGCACGGTGTGATAACTATTGTTTAGAAGTGACAGTTTCAAAATGTTCGCGACTATAGAAGGTAATGAAAACGGTATGATATTTCTTAATACATAAACGTGTTTAAATACGACATTCGGAAAGCTTAAGTATAAAGACTGTCTTTTCACGCCATATTATACGTTGTCTGGCCTATTATGGAAGGTCTACACTTTCCAGTAACGTTAAACAATCCGAGTTCAGTCTTTATCAAAGGTAGCAATTGTAGCATCGTTCTCCATTCTTCCATTGGTCATTGCTATTCCTTTAATGGTGGCCTTACCGACCAGAAACATTCTCACGTCCAAAACTGTACGGTTTTCAACTCGACATACGTTTAGTCTGGTCATTGCCGACAATTTGAACTGATTAAGCGAACACTTTTGGCCACGGGTGTTAAGACTTTTTATAGCCTCAGATCTGGGTAGATATTTTAATGTGTGGAAAATAGCGTTAGAGGCTTCGATCGGAGAATTATTAGTTGTCCTAGTGATCCATTCGGCTACCGAAGAACAGGTTAGAAGACACATCAGGATAGATGTTCCTAAAATAATAATACGTTTCTTTCCTTTAATGGACAAATTTCTACCCAACAAACCGCATTTAGCGGTAGCGATCATAGGAGGTTCGTCAACAGGTTGTTCCATGCTTTCTGAACTGTTGAATTAGCTAGTGGTTCGCCGGTTACGTGTATACTATTTAATTCCGCAAACCGGTGTTATATAAATATAAGTTACCGGGTTTGAGTGTGGGTCACTGACCCGGAACTGTCACGTGATTGTCCGTCGTTGGACGTTCATTGGTTATGCGGCTGGTCACGTGATTTTGATCGCCGGACTGTGATAGCGGATTTATCATTGCGGCTCGAGCTGTTGGAGATATCGGACATGAAAATGGATTCTCCAGATTTAAGCGCGGATTGCGGCGCTAGTGTCGACTGCGGATGTAAATGTTTGGATGCGGATAGCTGTCGGAATTTGTGGACAGACTGTTAATGGCAAATATATGCCAATCTGACTTTTAACTGCGTTAGGATATCAAGGCTAATTTATTAACGTTGTTGATACCTCATTAAAGGTGTGTTGTTTCACCACGACAACGCACCGGTACACAAGTCTGTTGTTGACATGGTTTCCATGCATGACCGTTGCTTTAAAGTCCTTGAACATTCTCCATTGTTTACTATATGGGTATATGGTTTCTACTAAACTTGAAGAAAAAACTTTCTGGCAAGCAGTATGCAAGTCATTTTACACCATCCGGAGGAAGCCATCTACACCCGTGAGAACCAGATGCTCCATCAGCTTCCGAGGGAGTGGACGGTCGGGGGAAGATTGGTTGACAGTACCATTTAGTGTTGTATAGGATATGTGATAAAGTTGGTCCACAAACTACGATAAATTTTTTGACTTCATGAGTTTTACCCGTGGTGATCCAAGGTAGAATATATGTAGGTCTTCAGCAAGCCATGCTTGACGAAAGAGGTGAAAATGCTTGTGAGAAGCGACTAACGGGATCGGGTGGTCAAGCTCACTGACTTGGTTGATGCATGTCATCGTATTCCAATTGCGTAGATCGATGCGCCTGATATCAATCACTGGGTTGTCTAGCCCAGACTCCATTATTTACATACTGCCGTCATATAGCTTGAATATTGTTGAGTGCGGCGTTAAACAACAAACAAACAAATTAACAGAACATGAAGAAATACAGCAAGGATTTATTTCTTGAAATGGGGAATTAGGCCCATTGCATAATTAATAATTCGCATAAGAAGGATTGAAGAGTTTAATGCTTACCAAATATTAACATTCAAGATCAGAATATTTCTGCATTGTGTGGGCAAAGTTACAATGATGTTTGTCATCAGCGATTACCCCTAAATTAACAAATCGTTCTTTGTAGATTTCTTGTCACAATCATGGTGTGTTCCGTTCAAACGGCGGATTTCATCATGGAACAAAGAGATGGGATCTAATCTTGAGGAGAATGTTGAATCCACGCACGCACATAGCTATCGTGCGTCTTTTAGATTTCAACACATTGATGTTGATTATGATCGAATTAAAAACTACACCACAAAATTATTACTTCTACTGTTGTTTTTCTACACTAGGAGCAGCGAGCATGTAAGTCCATTTTGACGTTCATGGCTATGTTTTTGTCGAAACCGTCGGAAAAATAAAACCGCCCACTCTTACACACATGTTTATGGCATATCATTTGGTTTAACCATTTTCATATAAATATTTCCAGAGTAACCCCATACACATCATGTCACATGCAGTCAATGCGAAAAATTGAAGCCACAGCTCTAGACTAAACCTTCATCTTTCGCTTTCTATCAGACATATACTCTTTCACTTCCGTGTTTGTACAGAGAAAGAGGGATCCGTATTTATCACAAGATATATCACACATATCTTTTGACGTTAGGACATTCCTGACATACTCCCCCGACTCTGTCAGCTGTATCACCTTGTTGGTGTTCCCGTCTACGAGCAGGATGTCTCCTGTGCTGGTAGTTGTGATACCACGAGGTTGACCGAGTGCTCTGTCTCCGGTAGGGGCGTATCTCCACACAACATGCCCCTCTGACGTCAGACATGTCACAGACTGCTTCCCCCAGTCAGACACGAGTATGTTGCCCTTGTTGTTGACACACATGCAGGTGGGGTAGCTAAACAGTGTCTTGTTGTGTGTTGTCATTGACCTCAGCACGTGTCCCGCCATGTCCAAGATATCAACATAGGCAATACCACCTGCTGCTAGAGATGAAGGACTCAGAACAGCGAGACTGTAGTACACCTTGCTTGTTGTGATGGTAGAGAGCAGCACAAGGTCAGGGGTCACTTCTACTGTTACAATCTCACTGAATTCAGGGACAGCAACCATCACCTGGTTCTCCTTTAACTGTGTTATTCCCAATGGCGGGTAAACCAGGGGAAGTCTACTTTGACATGGATTATTGTTTCTTGTGTAGAAAGATTTCACACACGTGTTATTGAAGTCAGTGACAACACATGTATGTATACCATTGACAACCAGGACTGTGACGTCACGTAGATAAGGCTTATCTTCATCATCCGCCATCCTCCCGTCTATCGTGTCAACCAGCACTGGAGACGGCAGACGTGTGCCCTGGTCCTGGTATGTGACGTCAATCTTCCCCAGCTGTAGGTCATCTAGGATGTGCTGGACGTTGTCAGTGTCAGGTGTAAACATGATGTCATCTATTCTCCGTGTGTCTACTGTGTCTTTGTCCCTGACATCCCCCTTCTCTACAGCCCCCGACTCCCAGGCCTGATACGCGTCATACAGGTCCATCTCACAGTCCGATACCAAGGCCTGGTCAATGAACTCACAATGTTGTCTGTACATCTGCATCTCAATCTCTTCAAGTTTCACACCGGAGTGGAGTTGACCGGCGTACGTCTGTGTTATGTGATTCAGTTCATCCAAGAGTTTTGTTTCTTTCTGTTTAATCTTGTTTATAGCTGTTTGACAGATTGATTTAATATTCTGACCAACTGAGTCAGTGATTCTGAAACTATTTTGTAGTTTCTGGTTTTTCATCTTTATTTTCTTCGACCTCACTTTCAGTCTCTTCCCCATGTCAAATCTCTTCTCCAGCAGAGCTGTCTTCATCTCTAGCTTCATAGACTCAATGGTGACGACAGTTTTACAAGTTCTGTGGTAGATGATACAACATGTCTGACAAGCAGCCTTCTGACAGTCTTTACAGTGGAACTCGACATTGCTACTCTTGTGCTCTGTACACTTGACCCTCCGTTTGACCGTTGGCCTAGATGACATGTCACACAGGTCATGGTTCTGTGACGTAGGGCTCACCCGGTGTGTCTTCACACATCTGTCACAGAGGGCCACTTCACACTCAGGACACCACAAGGCACCTGGAGTTGTCTCCCCTATTTGCTGACAGATCGTACAACAGGTGCTTGACTTCTCTGTAAACACAAATACGAACATATTTTTTTCTAAAACCTCACAAAATGGAAACGCTCAGTAAACAGTCTTTTTTTTTATTTCAAGGAAAAAAGCCCAATCAAAATTGATGATTTTTTTTCAATTTCTCAGGAATTAATAATATTTTGTAAGCAGCAATTAATCAAATTAAATGCTACAACTGGTTGTACTTCTTATAAACGTGTTATCGCTTAACTTTGTTTATCTTCAACAAAAAGAAATCATCAAACTGGATTGACACTCGTTAATTATGTTTAATATTTCGTGTACAAATTGTTACATACTTGTTCAATATTATTTCATAAGTGTATCTATTTCTTAAACACAATAGACGTATCAATACGAATGCCACTACTGGTTGAACATATAAATTTTGTTTTCAATTAACCTGGCGCATCTTCCTCGGTCCCGAGGGTGTCAATGAGGCCCTGTATAATGATGCTGGGTTTGATCTGCCCCGCCCACTCCTCCACTGGTCTGCTGGGGTGGGGGACCTTGGTATCTTGTCGACAGAAGGCACAGGGGATCGTCTTGGACTGAACAGCATCTGGTCTGGTTTGGATGTACTTGGTGATACATCTCTGACAGAAGGTGTGGTGGCAGGTCAGTGTACACGGGTCTGTGTATATCTTGAAGCAGATGGAGCACGTCAGGAAATTATCCTTTACTTTCTTCTCCAACTGAGCAGTAGCCATCTGTTAAATGCGCATATTATACTGTTATAGTTTTATGTATATATATTTAGTGTACTAATACAAAAGACAACGACAAAACTTGTCTCATGGAAGTGTATAGGTTTATATCCATTTGAGTGTTAGCATATGTACAGATGTACATGTATGCACCGGAGCACACGTGGCCAAGTGGTTACCGTGGCCCTACTACGCTTCCGTAGGAAACATTCCGGGCCTCAATCCCATTTTACAATGATTTCAACTCATCAAATTCCGGAAACTGAAAAAAGTTAGAAGAATGATTTTGGATGTAAGACAGAATCTTACCCAAGCATCTTTTGATTCTACTTGGGAGAGAATCGCTATTATGTACATTTAAACCTTCCTCATAACTCATGTTTCTAGGTTTGTCAGCACCATACCGTGCTCGTAGGATTCACCAATGTTGTAAACGTCTGAGACATGCATATGACTTTCACATTAGCTTAAACGCCCTGATATAACTGGAATACTGTTCAACCAGTGTTAAACCCAACTCACTCACTCCATTGCAGCAAATATGCGTTCAGTTGTAAAATGTTTTCGTATGACACCTATACAAATCCGCGTACATAATTTACACACATATGTACAAACTGCGTTTGTAAATTTCATGAAGGAAAATGTACATTTATGCAACGGCTTTACAACATATCGACACCTGCAAGTGTATGAACTCCAGTTTGCATATATGTGGTCATATGCACACAGAGCTTCAGTCAATCTCATTAAAATCAGATCTAAGTTCTCGCTGCCGCTAAACAAAGATCTGAGGACATCCCATTGTCAGAACGACCATCAGCCAATTAGAAAGCAGCTTTCTCGAGCTTTGCGGCACTATTTTCAGACTACGCTTGACAAATATATTGACACATTTCTCTATTGATATTTTGAAAACTGAACGGGCGAACATTCCGGAATGTCTAATATATGGTTGCGATTGTATGGCAGTGCGTCCCCCGCCTCGCCTGTTCAAATGTTTATCCCAAGGAAGCGAGATAGACGATTATTTTGACGGAATCAGTCGTACCGGTGGTAACTGTCATAAGGAATACCCCTGTTAACGTTTTCGCGGTTGCATGATAAGAAAACACATCACTTTCTTGATATGGTAAACAACACTTTGATTGGTCCTATGAAAGTTCGTTCTGACGTGACCCGTAATGGGATGTCCTCAGATCTTTGTTTAGCGATAGCGAGAACTAAGATCTGATTTTAACGAGATTGTGCGTCAGTGGGCTTCAGTGCTGCAATCTCACTCTTACGGCAACGATTGCCTGTGTTTCTAGCATGAGTTTCTGTAATAACTGCCCTTCCTTCCAAATACTTGAACCTATCGAGGACATATCTGCACCGCCCGACTCGGTGCCTATATATACGTGTTATCTATTCACTCAAGAGTAACCTCGACCCCCTTTCACAATCAACACTGGCAGAGCACACTATCGTCTCGGCACGTAGCCACCAGCACTTAGGTATAGGACCTATAGTAATCGAGGAACAATTGAGTGGATCCATTCACGGAAATAACAACTGGGGATTGCCTTTTATTTATATTATGTAACCGGCCAATGTCAATATATTTGAGTAATTGTAAAATTCAGGTAGCTTATTAACTCTCTGCCAAAATAGAGTTGAATGATGTGATAACTTCTTGTTAAAACAGGCGTCGATTTCAAGGCGTTTTGACACTCAGATATCTCCAGCAGATTATGTTTTATAGAAACAGTGAATGCTCAGTAACAGTTTGACATGATGTGCTTTTCAGAAAAACGACAAGAGGTGACTTAATATCGGCCTTTCTGCTGGCTTTGCGTCCATGTGTGGATTGCCGCCCTCAGCTAAACTCGTCCTTTTCCGTGACCGATCACTCGGCTAGTAAATCGCAAGAACCCGCCCCTGTCCGTAACCACAAAGACGACTCGGCCGTGAATGTGAGCCGAGCGGGTAAAACTACAATAACAGGCCTGCGTCTGAACACACTCGCGAATAGAATGTTTTCGCGTTAATAGTTCATCCGTTTAATTTTCGTCAATCACATATTTACGAAGTTACTTTTTTAGAAGCTTCTCTCCTAAATATATTTAAAATATACAACGGCATTTTGAAAAAATATAGTTCCAACACTGTAACTGTAAACAAAACCTGCACTCGTCTGGAGTGATCACAGCGAGGATTGACTACAAACCGTCAATGGTTCAGTTGTTTTTGAATTCTTACAAAAGACATTGTTCGTTCAAACACTGTTGAAATGACCCGAGTTGACCTTGGCAGATGGACATTTTATCCTCTTGACCTCTCATTAGTATCATCATCTGTGGCAGCTAAATGTTATTGTAAATTACAGTAAAATAATGTCATGTAGAATAAAGGCAATAAACATCACTGTACGCACATAGAGACATTCGTGTACAGTGTCGTACCTACCTTCAGGGATGACTACAGTTGAAAACATCGCCGCGTCATGCCTGTTTGTCTGAATGTTCTGCTCTCTAGCTGGTGGGCGTAAACATTGTTATCACAGGGTAATCAGACACCCAAAGTCCAGGTCGAATGTCATAAGGAAAGTACAACACGTTACTTCCTTCTACAGCAGTAATTGATTATGTTCAATTTATAAAAAAACAATATCCCAGTTCAAAAACGTGTTGTCTTAAGCTATGTGAAAACAAGTAAATCTACGTTTTTACTGACTGGGTCAATGCATTGATAACAGCCATCAGCATTGCTCGCCCATTTCCGTGATCAGTCATTCGGTATGTGCAGGAAATATTTGGATGCGGATGATGGATCTTAAATGATCAAAAGTGATGACAGTAATACGCATTAATAGTTGCGCCAATATATATGCCAAAAAGGAGATCAGTATTAACGGTTCAGTGTGTCGTCTACAGTCTCATGTGCCTTATACAACTATCCGTTAAAGACAGAATCTATTCTTTTTCGATGATAAATGTCTCTCTTCAGCGACGCAAGAAATATGTGACCATTTGCTTGAGGTACAGTAGAATTTAGTTTGGTTATGTGCGTGCGCCTTTCAGGTCAAAATACTTTGTTTATTGTCGGGACAAACTTCTACGTGAAATGAAAGGAGGTCTTTTTAAAGCAAGTGTCATATAAAACATGAAGGTTCATCCTGGTATGTAGATAAAGTATCCAATTGGTATATTTTTCGAATGACTGCAGACTGTTTAGTAACACGAAAATCAGGTCAGACAATCCAATTACCTATTCTCTGTTATAACATACATACAGAAGCGTTCTTTCTTTACATTTAGACCGATTAATCTTGATCTCAACATTTCAGTGTACATCGAGAAACGTCAGAGATTTTGAATGCATGATCGTTTAAGAATATCCTCGCTACGACCGAACCTATAGTGAACGAAACGAAGAAATGCACAACCAAACCATCGTAGTATGACTCAATCCGTGTCTAGGATGATAGTGAGTCTACCGAAATCTATGAATTCACCTTACTGTCTAATGAACACATCTTTAATCACCTTTCAATGTTCGACCAGTTGAACAATGTTGACTCAAACTTGTAACCGCCACAGGTTCATTAACAACTTCCGAAATCTCTCCCGTCACGTTTATCGTGTCGGCCATTTTGACGTGTTGTACTTGATGTAAATGTATTACGACGCGCTGTCATTGTGATTGACTTACTGAGGTTTTTCTTAACATACATTTCTCAACTAATGAGGATATTATTTGAATGTATTTGTTGTAAAGAAACTACAAAAGTTGTTCCTGTTGAGCATGTTGAGCATACACAAGGACATGTCACCTCTCGTTTTGAGGAACTATTGTATTCCGCGATACAACTGGTTGTTGTATGGCTGTCAGTGTCTAGTGACCTAGATCCATTTAGGTACAAAATAGTGACACAAAAAAATATAAGAATTGACTTTCAAGCTCCGACGTTCATACAGTCTGGCCCTCACTCTATGAAGGTTCATACTCCAATAAACTCACACTAGGTGAAAGTCAGTTCTTAAATGTTTCCACGCCTGACATGGCAATATTGACAATATCGTGTTTCATCAATCACTGCCGGTATCAAACATTTCAAATTGGCACATAAACAACATACATTGTTTTAAAGAAGCATTGCCCCGACGGTTGACATGAAAAACATCTGTCTCTTCTATAACACTCCGATAGCTTTGATGCAGCACTTTGGACTTGTGACTGGTACATCACGTGCTTTAACATGTGGCGATATACTGTTCCCTGTTGTGATATGTTTTCGTCAGAGAATT